ACTCGGCCTAATGTGGACCGAAGGGTGGCCGAGTTTGTGAAAATGCTGAGTTATCGGGAATGGGGTTAAAAAAGAATAAGTATGCGTGTTTCCTCAGAAAATATTGTACTGTACTTATATGTATTGTTTACTTGAGAATACAACAGAGAATAAACTGCCCAAATACCCTTAAACAAAGGAAAAGTACGTCCTTTATGAAGGCATAGAGCCTTTACTACATTAAAATGAAAATTAATGAATACACTGTGTACAGTAATTTACTTGATAAGACAGACCTCAGAAAAATACTCTACGAGGCATAAAGCTGTCTATGATGAAAATTAATTATTTAAGGGTATTTTTGCCCTGCCAGGGTGTGGTCGAGTTATCCGGAGTGCCGGGTTATCGAATGCAGAGTTTTCGAGGCTCTACTGTATTAGTATATCCCATGTAATTAGTTTATTAGTATCTTGCTATTAACCAACTTCGCGTTAAATTTTCATTAATGTTTAGCCTGACAATTTTTTTTTAAAAATAATAATCGTCGCTATTGTATCGTTAAAAATTATTTTAAATTGTTTTATTGCTCATGAAACAAACAACCACTCATAATTAGAAAATTAAGTCTTGTTTAAATACTGGTCTCCCTTCAATGGTCGAGCCGTGTTGCCAGCTAAAACACCAAAAATTTAACAAAAATAATATTAAAGTAGCCAAGACATAGCCAAATATTGTAATGCCACATCACTAGCGGACATTTGAAATTTGCCAACTAGAACGGTCGATTAACTGATGTGACGGTTAATCGGGGGTCGGATAATCGATGCTCTACTGTATTTAAATTATTTTTAGTAATTTCATTAACTTTTGTTTATAAATTTGCTTGCTTTTAAAAAATCTTTAAATTTTAATTATAAGCGAGTTAGCATTGATTGAACTGTCAGGCTACTTAGTGTTATTTGATGAACAAATATTTATTTCAGTTGGCAGGAACTTGATTATGAACTGAATGCAATTATTAATAGCTATTAATTTGAAACTTAAATTTATACATTTAACAGAAATATAAAACATATCCAAGAAAGGTTAATCTAAAAATTTAAAATAATATAAATTAAATTTAATTTTTCTAGTTATTTTTGGTCAAGATGAAAAATATAGAGCAATAATTTTTTGAAAACTTTTGTATAAAGATCTTGTATAAAAAACTTTTGTATAAAATTCTTTACTTTTATGTACTTTATTTCATGTTATGGAAGCTTCCACTCAATCAGATAATTTTCATTATTCTATTAAACATATATTGATAAACATAAAATAATATAATCTCCATATAAAAAAGTGATTATTTAATTCTTCAGTGTAATATCTTAATTCTGATAAAAGCAAAAAAAAAAATAGTAATCAGTATAATTTTATTTTAAGATTATAATTGTATGGATTAAGGAATAAAAAGAATTATGATTCAATTAACATTTATATTAAATAACTTATAAAACTCACTTATCATATAAAATCATTGCATCATCTTGAGCTTGTAAACCATCAAACTGTCCTTCTTTTGCCAAATATTGATTTCTAAAATTGTCAGCTATTAATAAGAAATCAACTAAATGTCTGACACCTTCTTGTTCCATATACTGAAAAATAATAAGTTAAACTTTATATTATTAAAAGCAAATCATCATTTCTAAAAATCTTAATGTACAATTATTTCTTTATAACAATAATTATTATTGTTCTATTTTGCAAAGATTATAATTCATTAAATGGAAAAAATTTTTTGAAGTCAATGCAAATAATAAGTAAAATATAAATAATAAAATTATTTTCCTTCATTTTGCATAAATATTATAATTCATTCTATTTTATTCTAATCTAACTTGTTTTCATCAAGGTAATTAAAAACTTTTTTAAATGAAATGAAACTTAGACAAGTAAAATTTAAATTTATCACTTAAAGATATGATACAAAAAACATTTTCCTAATCTGTTTCATTATAACAACAACAATTATTATGTTGGGTTTAGTGGGTTATACTCGGTTGACACTAGTGGCTGTGTACTATGCCAGACCAGAGTCAAGCCATAGCAACCAAAACAAAACTAAAATTTAATAAGTGTGTCAGTGTCTGTATTCAGGAATTTCCTAACAATATGGTATGTATTCAATATAGTGGCCTTCTGTAGTGTGATGTATGTATTT